TGGTCCTCCTTCGCTTTCGCTCCCGCCTCTTTTTCTCCCCTGCTACTCCTCTATGTCGCGTATCTGCTTTGACGCCCGCATTCGGGGAATTTCTGCATTCCTGCCACGTCTTTATTGCCTGACTGTCTCGATGCTGCACGTAAATAATCTCCCACGACAAGTTTTGGGTAAAATTTCGCCAGCCTCTAAAATACTCTTCCATATGCTCCATGAACTGCTTCACAGTGCTGGGTTGGGTGTGATGCTCACCCCTCACAGTCGCCTGCAGCCCAACCATCGTCTTCCGCGGTGTGTCCACGAAGAAAAAGCCGTATACCAGCGGAAAAATTTGCGAGTCCGGCACGTACAACACCCCATACTCCAGAACAAGCTTCAGGGGTTTGAATTCCAGTAGCGTCAATGGAACTGACTTGCTTGGATGCTTGTCAGGGTTTGATTGCAGCACACATGGACGTCCCGGGCGCATCCTTGATGGCCTCAGCTCCATAAGATTCATTTTTATGTTATCCACAAAGCCCCTGTCCGTGAATGCGTGCACACCATACTTCTCCAGACCTTCCGACAAAAGTGAACCCCTCAGCCTCAATAATTGATACAAAATATCATTCTGCTTGCCTACCTCTGTCAACTTTATGAGTAGTCTGTGTCCGAGGTGTAAACAAACCGGCAGGTTCACAAACGTCTCAGCAGCGCCTTTTACTGTGACCCGAACAGCTTTCACCAGCTTGCTAGACGCGTCATTCGCAGGCACCATTTTCCCTTTTACAAATGAAACGTAATTATGAGCATTCGAAGCGTCGATCAAGTCCAAGACCTGCCTGGCCAGGCCCTGCTGATTGTCATATGAAATGTATTCAAAAAATGCTTCGCGGAATTGTTCCCACATCATCCAAGCGTTCTTTGATCATTTTCCAGTACTTCTTTTGGACCCGCACAGACATAGCACGCGTCTTCCAGGCACACATCGCCTTCACGTCATTCTCGTCCGGGCAATCCATAACGATGAGGTTGGCATGCTTCTGCTTCGCCCATGATTTGAAGTTATCTTCGTTTGGGGACGACAACAGAATGAAGCCCCATGTTTCCGGCGTTGGAAAACCATCCGGTCCTTGACCCTTTTTATCCACATCGTAGATAATATACCCTTTTATCCCACGCCCAGCCAAAACTTTAATTATAATGATAATCTCCTTTCCATCTACGTATTCCGCCACTGTTTTGTTAGTCTTGTCAAACACGTACGCCAGGTCACCTCCAAAGCAGTAGACAACT